AAATAAAAATAAAATGAACAAAACAACAATTTGAATAATTTGAATAAAATGGATAAATGAAAATAATAATAAAACAAATAAATGAATAAAACAAATAATAATTCAAATAATTCAAATAGGAACTTGTATTACCATTATGGATAGAAACTCTAGTTTAGCTTTGACAACTCCTAAATCTTTAAAAGATGATAAAAGATTATCTAAAATTGTATCTACAGAAGTATCCAAGGAAATACTTTTATCATCATCTACTTCATCCATAATGTCATCTTCTTCCTCTTCTTTTTCCAATAAAAAATTTTCATCAAAGGAATTTAAACTTTTTGAAAAGCTTTACCATTATCAATAATACCTTTTTCTAAATATTCATTACAATGCTGACATTGACTTGAAAGATTTAACAAAAAGCATTCATAATGGTAAGAATGTCCACATGCTAAATTACAACCAATATTGTGAGACAATTCACATGCTTCTCAATCACAATATCTGTCAGCTCTTGGATGAAAAGATGTACTCCATGCTAATGGAAGTAGTTTTGCATCCACAATTGTATCCAATGTTGGAAGCTTATATTGAATTTTGTTTTTTTGTTTTTTGTTCTTGCCTGACTTACCTGATGCATCAATTTTTACTACATTGTCATGATTATTAAACATTCTCATAAGAAGCTCCAACAAAAATATTGCTGCTCTTTTTTTCATAAATTCTAATTCCTTTTCTGTATATATTATATTGTGGGACTCTGAGAAAACTTCTTTAAATTGATTGTTACCATTACCATGTGTTTGGTCAATTATTTTAGCCTGTGTGATAATTTGCTCAGATGAATTTGATTTACTAGTCTGAAGATGAAATGAAGAATGAAAATTCTCCACATAATAATCATTGAGCAAGTGAAAATTTTGTTCAATGATTGATGCCATAGGATGATGTGTAGTGAACCAATAGAAGACATCACTAAAAAATGCTAATGGTAATTTATTGTAATTTTTACAACCATACCTGTGAAAAAGCATCCAAACGCAAAACATTGCTTCTTTGTATGCAAGCCAATATCCACTTCAAAATATTACTGGATAAAAATCTAGAACTAGAGGTATAACATTATCTGAATGATCTAATAAATACCTTACCTCAGGATTTTTGCAATTACAGAACTTTGCAAGTACTTCTTTTTGTATTAGACTCCATCCAGAAGCATCTAATTCAAGCAGTACATTGATTTTATATGGCTTTGGTCTTTTGGCTAGTTTCTTCTTCTTTAAATATACTTCACAATTTAATTTGTTGAAAAAAGCATAAATCAATAAAAAAACTGCTTCATGACTATTTAAAGAGTCATGCAAAGGACCAATCATTGCAACTATGTGAAGTAGTAATGTTGAAAGCTCAGATGTACTTGCAGAATTTATACAAGATGATATTGCACGCCTCACATAAAACTGTCCAGGGTAGTCCATTGGTGCTACAATATATTTTTTCAAGATATAATTTCAATTCTGGAACATTGAAGACATTTTGGAGTGCTTTTATATAATCTTCAGTGGAATGTAAATTTCCCTCCACCAAGTTAACAAGTTTTGTGTTATTCATGCTTCTATCATCTCTAAGCTGTTGCATCCTATTGTCATAGTTATGTACTAATAACATCTCCACATGCTCTTCATGATTCTTTGCTTCGGGTAATTTTCCAGAAAATGCAAATTTACGCTCATTATATGTTAACCATAGATAAGGGAAAAATGAATGACTTGCATTTTCAACAAACAGATCAACATCAATACACTTAGGATTATGAATATTTTTTTCCATGAGTAAATTTGTAAATGGGGTAGCTGGTGTTTCTGATGCTACTTTCAACAAAATAGTCTGAAAATGATGAACATCAGATGTTATAGTTGTGTCAGCTCGTCGTTTTGTATGAATGTTATGATAGTCATCTAGATTGTTCATCTACATCAAGATTATTATTATATTAATACAAAAAACCAAATTTTTAATTATAGATAATAAATATATTTATTATGAAGATATACTTACAAATTCTGCAACAAAAATTCCAACTGTCTCAATGTGAGTTGATGCATCCTTTTTTTTATTTTTTGCTATAGTCTCATGTCTAATACTCATACCTGCTCCTGCAAATGTCTCAATTGCTGAGGTAGATGCACCTGCACCATCCAATAGATAGCCAATTTCTGCTTTAATCCCACTAATAAATTTATTATTCAGTCCTGCCAAAAAATAACAAAATAAAACTAATCTTTTTTTATTTTTTTCATTAATCATATTGCTTTTAGAACCTGGATTAGTTCCTTTATATAGTTGATCAAAAAACCCTTTTAATTCTGGTTCAGTTTCTTCTAACATCCTATTAAATGCTTCAGGTTCCAAAATTGGTTTTTCATTATTTACTCTCTGTCTTATATACAGTATACCTGCCATTAGTTTAATTTTTTTACTAAGAGGAGTCATTTCTAAAATAAATAAAAAAAATAACCATGTTAACAAATACAATTGACAATAAAAAAAAAGAAAAAAAATAATTACCTAATTTTACTTCATCAAGTTCTGCACACACCTCATGATATGCAGTCTCCAATTCTTGAAATTCTTTTTCTGAGTAAATAACATCATTGCGTAATACATAAACTCTATCTTGAAATTTTCGTATATTTTCTTTCAAAGTTCTTTTAATTGGTAATAAATAATTTGAAGAACCTAAATATTCTGAATCATGATCAGTCTCCAATAAACAATGATAACACATTACAGCTGTCTCAGATAATTTAAAATATTCAATTAGTCTTTCAGGTGCCTTTTTAAATGATGTTGTTTCTTTTTGTGCTGTAGGTAAATATATTTGATGCTTAGGATGAGAACAAATGTTAGTAATTTTTTTTTTTTTTGCATTAACAATTAACTTATTGTAATGCTTTCTACATAGAGCTTTTCCTACTAAATTTAAATGATAATTAATTTCCGGTATTGTTACTCTATCAGATATAATAGAAGCACCATTCTTTTCATAATCACATATAACTTCATCATAACCTTCTAAATCACAGTGTTCTATCTTCCTCTTACTTTTTTTTCCACATTTGTTTTGACTTTGCTCATTCATTTTTAAATTGGTTATTGAAATTCTACCTTCAGTTTTTTTAAAAAAAGAATTCTCTATAGCTAACTTCCGAATTACCTAACCCTTATTCAAATTATTTTAATAGTTTATGATTTGAAGTGTGTATTTTGGAATACAATAAATTTTATTATCTGCGTTCTTATTTGTGAGGCTGCGCTATCATTTAAAGTCAGGTGATGGTAAATTTTTATATTAAATAATATGTGACTATAATTTCTAAAATCAACCAATCATATTTAGGCCCGCTATGTTGATGTAGCACGGATTTCAAAAACATGTGGTCACTTAATTTGTGGTCCATCAATGAAGGAAAGGATCTACATAGTAAATTCCGGGATAAGCATCATAGTAAAATCAATTAGTGTCCATAATCTGGAACCACTGCAGAAATAGCACAATATTTTACATGTAGATTTGTACTTTAAAATTACTAAATAAAACTCTGAGTATCTGGCTAT